ATGAATGAATCTTGAGGAAATTTCCTAAGTGAAATAAGCCAATCACAAAAAGACAAATACTGTATGATTCCACTTATATGAGGTACTTAGAGTAGAAACAAAAATCACAGACAGAAAGTAGAATGGTGGCTGCCAGCGGCTAGAGGGAGGGGAGAATGGGACTATGGAAAATTATTGTCCAATAAGAAAAAGTTTCCAATTTATAGAATGAAAACAGTTACAGGGTGGTGATGGTTATATAACAAATGTGAATATATTTGATACCACTGAACTGTATAGTTAAAAATGGTTAATATGGTCAATTTTATGTTATGTGAGTTTTAAACACACACACACAGAAAAGGAAAATTGGGGTGGGGGAACATATGTCTACTTCTGTGGCTGAAACCTTCAGTGATATTTAAGCAAGCCATAAGTTGGATAGGTAGCCATTGAAGATAAAGATTTTGTTTGTCTTAGTAAACGGGAGGGCATATGATCCCAGGGAGAGTGCAAATTCTACTCTGGAAGACACTATCCACCACCACAGTCTCTAGGACAGAAGTCAGTGATATCAACCAACGCAGAGCAGACCCTCTTCCCATTGCAGCCCGGCCCCGGAAGCCCCATCTCAAGTCCCCATCCAGTCTTGACCTACTGCCTTGGCAAAGGCCTGGAGCCCTCTGGGACCTCTCATCTACTCTTTATGAAATCACAGACCTCAGGGAATTAATCCCAATAATACAAAGTGAGATCCATCCTCTCCAAACCCCATCTCCACCCACACGTACCATGGAGCCCAAAGGAGAGAAGCAGGGACAGATGGGGAATTCAAAAGCAGCACCTACTCGGAAGCCATGAACAAGGCCTGAAGGATGCTGTTCACGTAGCACGTGTTGCCCAGGTTGATTAAACCGATCTTGCCCGTGTCTGACTTGGCCATGAGCCGGGGGTAAAAGCCGGCCAGCTCACTCTTCTGCGAGGTCCAGGCATCCTGCCCCAGCAGCTGTTTGATTCGGTCCTCATTGGGAACATGGAGGTCCTGAGAGGGGAACAAGCCAGAGCAGCACAGTGGGCACCAGGTTCAGCTCTAAAAATATCACCTCCTCTGGGAAGACTTCTTGAACTACAGCCTACCCCATACCTACCCAAGCATACCGCCCCAAGTGTCCTAAAGAGGTATGTGAACAGCCCCCTGCTTTCAAACTTATTCTAGGCTCTCATCTTGACATGTAGGCCTTCTACATGATCTTTCATGTCACAACTGCCTTAAGAAGGTGGTAAAGTCCCCATGGTATAGATGCAAAAACTAAGACCCAGAAAGAGAAAGAATTTTCTTAGAAGCAGTAAGCCAAGAATCCGTATGTCAGACAAGCCCAGGGTGTGACAGACTCTAAGCAATGACAACACTGGCCCACTGGCTAGATCCAGCAGTGTCATGATCTCGACTCTAATCCTGACTCTTGTCCTCACAGCTGTCTGGCTGTGGTCAGTGAGCCTCCCTGACTCGGTCAGTCAACCTCCTTGGACCTCAGTTTCCTCATTTGTCAAGTGAGAATACTCCTACCTTACAACAGTTTGGCACTCTACACTTTCACGGTGCTTGCCCACAATGATGCTCCTGTTTTCACTGTCTTTAAGGATGTTCGGAGTCAGCTTTTTGGAATTAGTCAACCCCCTGGAACTTGATCCCACAGTCAAGACGGTGGGAGGATCCAGGGGGTCTGAGGTATGATTCCTTGGTCACAGGCTCGGGGATTAGCATGCTTTCCCACTCATTATCCTTTTTCACATTAAACAGCTGCACCTAAAAGAGTATTACCAAGCACTGGTTCTAATAATGATGTATTTTAAAGAAAAACACCTAAGCATATTGCAGTGTTACTTAGATTTAAGCAACATCCATGACAGTTCCTCTAGCCCTGTTCTTACTTTCAGATCATGAGCACAACGCCTAGATTTGTCTAAGGCTCCAGAGCCTCAAACCAGCTTAGCACTGAAAGGCCTCCAGCGCACAGACTCGTCACTGCAGAAGGTCTGGCCCAAGCAACGGTTTATCATGTCTGCCCACTCCTTTCCTAGGATTGTTTATCAAATAATTTATCAGATTATCACCTCTCACAGATGATTTAAATCACAGATGATTTAAAAAAATATAGGAGCTGCCACAGGCAAGATAAGAAGATAAGGGCTCATATCTTCTTAGTCCCTTTTCTTCCTATTATCCCCTATTCAATCCCCAACCACACACAACATGAATAGGGACAAAAAGACTGACAGAATCAACCCCTGCTCCCTCGCTCCCCATCACCACACACACACACGATACAAAAATAACTACACAAAAGACATCAAATGCCATTTTTCCCAAAGGAAATTTTGTACTCTTAGAAGAGTAAAACAAAAATTTCCAAATAACTTTCAAGTTCCTCATGTTATTGGAAATTTACATACAACGGCTCCCAGAGAAACTGCCATAACCCAATACAACTGCCTAAGAGAGAATTTTCCACAATTTCTAAAAGAGCCTGTATACAAAGGATGTACTGACATGTGAAAGAATTTTAGAAACAATAAAATCCTACAAATACTTTGCTGCCTTGTCTCTCCAACTGGCTCGTACCAAGGGTTACTCAAAGCCACAGGACGAAATCTTCCTACAACTACATTTGCTAACATTCAAGGAAGAAAAATGTTTACATTAAAACAAGTGTTTATAATTATGAAGTATATACTTGAATCTTTGACTTAAATGAGCTTTTTTTAGAGAAACTCTGGGCTTTTGTCAGGCTGCTTAGGGTAAGTCTCCTCCCTGAGGTCAAGTAATTCGTAAGAAACCTTTGAGAAGCCCAGACCTGCTGGATTAAGCACTCACTCAGCCTAGTTTACACAGCCCTCCGCACTGCTGATCCTTCTGATCTCCCTACCCATCCACCATGCGTTACAGCCCAACTGGATGTGCATGTGCCCGCTCCCATGCCCTTCCCTTTGACTTGTCTGAGGGCCTCTTCCTGCCAGTCCCTATCCCTCAAGGTCTAAATTCTATATCCCCTCTCCAGAGGATTTTCCAGAATCTCCACAAGTGGGGGCCCCACACTATCTTTACCTTTCGTATAGAGCCTAACTCCCTTTGCCTAGTGGTCCAGGGATTCGCAGACTCACCTTCTCCCTGGAGCAGACCACATCCTCTAGAGTGTAAAGCCTGGGTCTCACTCAGCGTGGGTTTCCCTCGGTGCCTGTGCAGGCCACGCTCCCTCCTCTTTGTTCACACCTCCATGATATCACACCACGGTCACCTTCATTCACTCAGACATTTATTAGACACAAGGATCAATAAGACATGTCCCTGCCCATGAGAAGCTCACAGTGGCAGTCACTTCCAACAAATTTAAGTCCTGTCTCCTCTGCTCATCCACTTCCAGTACCAGGAAGCCCATGATCTAGCAAGGCAGCTGCTTCCCCATTGTAGGTTAGCGCTATTTAAAAAACAAACAAAACTCTTATGTTAAGCTGGAAAACTTCAGAAAATCTAAATGTCAGAGGTTTTGTTGTATCTACCAGTTAGATACCAACAATCTACACATGGTAGACTGTTCCCTTGTATGTTTTGTAATTTGGGGATTATAAACTCATCTTTAGTACGACTTTATCTTTGCGTCTTTCAAGAAGTTTCATTTCTGTTTCTACTAGGCAACCCTCGGGTATTACAAGTTTATGACTACTTTCAATGTTAGTATCTGAGCACAACCCCACAGAAGGTAAGAATTTGGATGCCTAAACCCACATGAGAACAGGCTAATAATTATAAATGTCTTTTTTCCCCAATCCAGAGCCCAGACCATGCAAGAGAAGTTTCCTTGATGTCTATTTGGGACCATGTGTATTCTTCCTAGAGCACCCTTTTACTACAGAGTAAAGCCTTTCCTGGGTCCTGGTTTACATGGCCCTCTTAGTACTAACTCCCTCCTGGGAGCAGGTCCTAAGCCTCTCCTCCTGTCCCCACCAGCTCAAGCCACTGTCTTACCCAACCTTCCTCCCTACCCACAAGGCAAAAGAACATCACCTCTCACTTACCATTCTGGAATTCGGTTTTCTCTTCCTTTTTGTCCCCTGGGGATTCTACCTGACTTCCCTGCAAGCTCAGCTTTGTACTTAAAAAGATGTTTGTTATATTTTAACAAGCATTTCTAGGTGTTTGGTGTGGAACACTTTCCAGGTTATCTATCTGCTGTGCTACAGAAATGGAAGTCAGATCAGAGGCTGTGAAACAGCCATTGCCTACCTGGAGATCTTTCACACCTGGACCTGCCCTCTGTATCAAGCAAGGGGAAAGGGTTCAGCCCTGGCTGTGCCTCTCACTACCTCCGTGACTCTGCATAAGACACCACACCTCTCCAAGTCTCATTTTCCTCCTCTATGAAATTGAAATGACAACAGTACTTGCTCCACAAGTTTCTAGTGAGCAACAGAAGACAGTACATATGAGAAAACACTGAGTATGGCACTACAAAAACATCTACAAATGTTACTGTCCTAGTAACCCAGCAAGCCCAGGTCAGAAGCCCTTTCTTCCTTGCAGCCTCCTCCTCTGCCTCTTCATTGCTCCTCAAAGGAGGAGACTTGGTCTGCCTCACGCCTGTGTCTCCAGTTCCTAATTGGGCCTGGCATAGAGTAGGGCATAAGTCTTGTGAACAATTGTAAACAATCCCTGCTCTGTAGTGCTAAGAGGAGACAGACACATAGACAATAACCATCTGTGACAGAGGGATGCAGGGGGCTGTGGGAACTCAGGGGGCCCATGACCTAGCCAGGGGAGCCAAGAAGAGGGGTGGGTTCAATTACCAGAGTTATCAAAGAGGGCTTCCTGAGGGAGGCAACACTTGATAATAGCATTAAAGGAGCCTTAGTTGGGGTTGGAGTTATCCAGGCAGAACAAAAGAGGGGTTTAAGTGAGAGAGATCGCCATATGCAAAGGCTCAGAGCAGTCCATCATGAGAGGAAGACTCTTCTAGGGGAATAGCAGGTGGCTCAGTGTGCCTGAAGCACAGGATGGGCCAGGAGGTACTGGGAGTAGCCAGGGACCAAGTGATGTGGGGGCTGCCACTAACCTGGAGTGTGGCCTTAGGCAAGGCCCAATCCAGCACCCTCGTCAGAGGGGGTCGCAGAAGCAGTAAGGACTGTTACTCACCTTGATGGCCTCCATGATGGGTTCGTACAGGTCTGGGAAGCCTGGGAACCGGAACACCATGCAGTGGACCAGCTCTGCCAGCTGCTCCAGGCAGCTGGTCCCCGAGTTGGAGTCCTCCTTGACCAGAGAGGCCACCATTGGGGGGATGTGAGGGAGAAGCTGTGAGAGCAGAGAAGGGTGAGGTTCAACACCAGTTTACCCACAGGAGACGGGGGATGGTGGTCAGTGCTGAAGGCACCCGGATCCCTGAAGCAGGGAGGTCTGCCCACCTGACCTACATGGGGCTCTAAGGGAGATGACTCTCTTCACAAGACACATAACCTTGGATACTTTGCCTCAGTCTTTTCATCTGTTTAATGGTATAAATAATTCCCTCCTCATGGTTGAGGGGAGGCCAGAGCCTGAGCCCCAGCTATTAAGTATCAGCCAACAGGCCTCCCTAAACAGACTGAAGGCTTGAGTGACCAGGGCTACTCTGTCACCCAGAAGTGATGCTGGGGCCACAATGTGGTCAGCTGGTGGGCAGCCCTGACAGAGCATGAGCGCCAGCAAACATTTACATGTCAAGCACTTCATCCTCACAGTGACATTATGTGGCGATTACTACCCCCATCTTATAGATGAAGAAATTAAAGTTAGAGAGGTTATATAATTTGCCAAGGATTTCACCTTGGGTTACAGGAGAAGTTGATGTGTGAGCCAGGTCTGTCTGAACCCAAAGGCCATTTCTTTCCTCTGTGCTACTGAATGTTAACTTTCAAACCCATGGGGGTGCGATGCCATAACATCCCAGGGATGGACAGAGTCAGGCCATACAAACTGGGAGCAGGGAAGCCCAAAAGAAGGATGGAAAGAAAGAAATGTTTGTCAAGTCCCTAGTATATGGAAGGCTCTTGAGAAATGAGAAATGTCACCTCCTTTAATCCTGTCCCCCTATCCTGGGGGTTGACCCCCCATCCCAGGTTCTGAGAGCTACATGCCCGGCCCAAAGTCACCACATCGGGTAAATGGCAGAGCTGGGACTCAACCCCACATATGCTAATCCCTGGTTCTGTGTTTTTCCCACTGCAAAAATCAGAGAGCATGAAGCTTCTGCACTGACCAGGAGCCAGCAGAATCTAGGGCCACATCCACCGGTGAAGGCAGGCAGCTCCCCAGCGCTACAGGCTGCTCTTCCCAAGGGAGGGCCCCTAAGATGACACAAAGGGCTGGGAGCTGAGGTCAGGCCATTCTGGTGCTGGTGAACAGCAGGGTACAGAAAGGACACTGGGTCAGGAGTCAGACCAACTCAGCTGGCATCTTCCCTGTACCACCTACCAGCTGCGTGTCTGGGGCAAGCAACCCAACCTCCCTAAACTGCAGTTTCTTCAGCTGAAAAATGGAGAAAATGATAGAACCTCCCTCTTGGGGCTGTTTCAGAAGTAAACTGAATGAACATATGCACTGGCTTTAGCACTGTGCCTACCACACAGCTGGCCCCCAAGGAATCTTAGCTACTATCGTTCCAGACCCGTCTCTCTACTGTGGGCTCGTGGGGAGGTCACACACATTCTCTGGCCTCAGTTTCCTATCTGTAAAATGGAGTCTCAAGTCTCTTCCATCCTAACATCCAGGACTTGGAGGAAGGTCTTGGGCTTCAAGCCCAGATCCGTCAAGTCCCAAAAGAGACAGCAAGTCTGGCCTCCAGCCAGACCAGTGGGGGATGCAGGGCTGCCCACCCTCAAAGCAGTATACAGGGACCCTTACCAGGTGGAAGGCCTCATGGGAGTGCTGGAAGGTCAGGAGCATGTACTTAAGGACAGACAAGGCAGCTCCCCGGACAATGGGGTACAGAAGCTTGGAGAAAACCTGGAAAAGAGTCCTTGGTCAGGAGTCCCCAAGGCCTGGGCTGCCCGAGGCCAACTGCAGACACAGACCTGAAAGGGAGCTAGAGTTAAAGTAGCAGAGCCACATGGAAGAAACACAGAGACGCTCACAGACCTGGGTGGATGGACAGGTGGTGAAATGGACAGCAAGATAGCTTGTATCTGATGGATGGATGGATGGATGGATGGACGGACGGACCAAAAGTGACACATACACTTGAATGACAAATCAAAGGAATGAATGGGGGAGACCTGGGGCCCAGAGAGGGGCAGTGAATTGTCCCAGGTCACAGCGAGCTTGGGTGGGAGCCCCAGTGCTCTGCCTCCCAGACCTGCACTGCCTTCTGGCAAGAGACTAGCAGGAAAGGCCAGAAGCCAGGGCTAGGATAGGGGCCCACCAACCTTCTCAATTTTGGCGAGTGAAACCTCGATCAAGATGCTGAACTTCTTAACAGCGGCCAGGCCCTTCAGCAGTGCAATGATCCACTTGTCAATGTTCTTCCCCAGGGGCCAGGACACCCAGTCGATCATCCTGGTGAGGGGAGTGACAGTGACACAAGGACCAGGGAGGCCCAAATGCCTGGGAGGGGGCAGCCCAGGGACCAGCCCTAATGTCCTAAAATCCCACACTGACTCACACCTGCACACAGGGCAGCCCTGGGATCCGTGGGATGAACAAGACACTTCTGGAAACTGCAAATGAGCCCAGTACAGGCACCTGGCAGAGACGGGGGCTCCCAGACTGGCAAGAGGGAAGCCAGGCCCTTTCAGCACCCCAGACCTCACCCCTATACACACTGGGCTGCAGTGGCAGAACAGGGCTTTCAGCTGCCTCTGCCTGGACTGTGGGGCCCAATAGCAGGGGGAGCAGTGCCCCAGGCCAGAAGCCCTGGCTCCAGCAAACCCTTGCTTGTGACCTGGAGCAAGTCACTTACTCTCTCTAGCCTCAGTTTCTTCCTCTGTAAAATAGGGACAATAATTCACAGGGTTGTTGTATGGATTAAAAGAGATCACAATAGCTAACAGCTAATAGCTAGCATTTATGTCTTATTCACTCTGCACCAAGCACTGCTCTACCTGCCTTACATGTTAACCCATCTGACCCCCACGAGATAATGCCTGTGCACACTGAGCAGGAAGCTGCCACACAGGAGGTGCTCAGGAAAAAGTCACTATTATTATTTTTATACACACTGTGCTACAAAGAGAACAATAAAAGATCAAAGTAGTACTGATTACGGTAATAACAGCTACCGTGGCACTGTTCTAGGCACCCACCTTACATGTATTATCTCCTTTTACCTCATTCAGTCCTCACAACAACCCTGTAAGATGGGGTCAGTTATACTACATTGTATGGAGGAGGAAGCTGAGACATAGAGGGGTTGAGCAACCTGCCCAGAGTCATACAGGCAAGACGTAGGAGAGCCAGGATTTGAACTCAGGCAGCTTACCTCTAGAGCTCAAACTCTTACCCGCTACAGACAAGGAATCCAGGAAGACCCAATGGAGACAGTGGATCTGCACACGGGTATGGAAAGAATGGCAAGGGAAGGCATGCCAGGTGGACGGGGTCTGCAGAGCCAGAGGCTTGCAGGCAGGAGGGGAGGCGTCATATTCTGAGATCATTGGCCCGGCAGGTGTGCTTAGATCACAGGTGTGATGATGTTCAAATGAGGTGGGGGATGTGCAAGAGCTAAAAAGCACTCACTGTTTGTCACACTTGCCAATCTCAGAAAGCACTTAGTGAAGTACTTTCACCTGCTAACATGACCCCCATGGAAGCTTGACCACTTCTTATACCACCTCTGCTATTACAGAGGGGAAACCGAAGCTCAGAGAGTTCACTGACTTGTCACCCAGCCTGAGAGCATCACTAGGGCAAAGCTCTGTGTACGCCCTATCCAGCCCTGGGCCAGGCACAGGAAAGGCTCAAGGACGGATGAATGAACAAGTGTGAGGGCTGGGCCCTCTGACAATAAATCTAGCCCAACAATCCCACCCAGTGGAAGGGGCTTCTGGGAGGGACAAAGACCCGACCACCACTAGCCCCTCAGCCCACCTGCTAATGGCAGTCAGCATCTGGGAGTCAGTCACACTGTCATCATTGCTGAGGTTCCGGACGACACCATCCATGAGCTCCAAAGGGAGGTGCTGGACCACACTGGCCAGGGCACTCGACGGCGGCTCCTCCTCTGGAACAGGCGGCTGGGCTGAGCTTAGCAGGGAAGTGGGCCCCACACCTCTCCCATCACCCCATGCCCTTCACACTGCCAAGGAACTAGGCTGTGCCTCTGCAAAGAGCACATTGGAGCCACCTCCTCACCTCTTACAGCATCCCAGCCTCTGATCTCATTTAGCTCATTCACTCAACAAACTTTCACTGGCACTGCTTTGGGCCCCTATTCTGAGCAAAGAAAAAAACAAAAACAAAAAACAAAAACACTGACCCCCAACTGTGCATGCACGGGCAAGGCCTTTAAAAGGAGTAGGGTAACAATGGATCTGGCAAAAACAGGTATGAAGGCTATGTGAACTGGGGGCAGGAAGGATAGTCCAAGTAAAACCCAATAAATAAAGGCTCAGAGGTGAGAAAAAACATTTAGTTACGAAAATTTGTTGTTCAATTGTATAAAGACCGAGGTCCTTATACTTCTTCCTCCTGCCAGGTGCCTCCCTTTGCTTTCCCCTAAACAGCCCTATAATCAGAGAAGGCACCGATTTTATTTGTCATTTAAACTACAGCGCAATTTCCACAGTTGCCAACGGAGGGCCAAGACTGCCACTTCAGAGCTGACACTTACAGGCTCCACGGCGCCTCCAGACCTCCCCTCCATCCGCCCAGAGCACCCTGCCCCGCTGCCTGGTGCTGCCCAGCTCTCAAGGCCTGGTTCAAAAGTCACCGCCTCTACGAAGCCCACCTGACCCAAAAGACATGCTGACCCCCCCTCTTCCTCTTCCTGTTGTCTCACTCGGCCCCTCGTCCTCCTCCTGGCCAGACTGAACTGGGCCCGGTCCTCCCTGCACGCCCAGCATTCACCACAGGATAGGATACACCACCACCACCACCACCACCACGCCAACCCCGCAGTAGCTCAGGAGAGGCCTGCTAACCAGACAAAGGGTCAAGGCACTCCCGGACCTGTGCACGCCCAGCATTCACCACAGGATAGGACACACCACCACCACCACCACGCCAATCCCGCAGGAGCTCAGGAGAGGCCTGCTAACCAGACAAAGGAACAAGGTACTCCCGGACCTGTGCTGTAGCACGCACACGCTAAACCACCACGCGGGCACGCCACGCAGAAGACTCCGCACGCACAGTCCCCGCCCCGGCCCTAAAGCACACGCACCTGTGCAGGAGATAACGGCAAACAGCTCCTTGAGGCAGGGCAGGATGGCGGCGGGCTGAGCACGCCACAGTTGCGCCAGAAGCCCGCTCACCTGCTGGGCCTGCTCCAGGAATTCCACGGCACCCTCCTCGCCCTCCGCGGGGCAACGGAAGCGACCGAGGCAGCGCACCAGCTGCTGGC